ATGGAGAATTTTATGAACACAACTGCACAAGCACTTCAGAGTGATCACTTGCTACTAGAACTCAAGTTCCTTGTGAAGTCACATCACAAGTCTGAATTCTGGTATACCAAACTACATCATTTTTCCCAAAGGAATCAGTGCTAGGAGCTAACTTTTACTGCATGCCCCTACTTTGGTTAGACATGGTTAAGACAATGTCAACAGTGATCTACTCAAACTAGACAGAAACCATTCCATGTCCCTGCTGGCTGAAGAACCTGCATTTTGACAACAGCAGTTACTGTTTTCCATGCTATTTGAGAAAATGCAATACAGATCGGTATGAAAAGTGTTTTCAAGCACATCTGTAGCTACATTAAGCACTGCTACCAGTTCAAAACCACACAAGGTTGCCTGCTTTAAGACAGTAATCTGGAGTACATGATGTCTTCAACATTATTGTTGCAGAGCCAGGAATCCGAAACATAACAGATCACTCTTACTTACAGGTACTTCAGTTGCATCCGTGGAAATGAAGAAGCTTTAATTTCTGAGATCAGATTAGAACTAAGATCTAGATTTTCCAGTGAAAGGTAAACTTGGAGTTGCTCGGCATTTATTTCTGGAATGGTATTGTGTACCCTGAAAAACACAAGTAACAAATATGATTACCAAAACACCTCATCCTTCAAGCTGAACAGCTGAAACAGCTTAGGATTTGTGTATCAACGTTATTAGCAAGCCTCTTAAGCAGGACATGTACCACACACTTCAAAGTGTCAATTCTTCAAGCGATACTGAAAATCCAAGAGCTATTTGCCACCTTGACATATGAATAGATTCAAATTCTGGAGCCTGTAGCTAGACTGTTCCTTGTGGGAACTGTCATTCCTAGACTGAATCCCTCCCCTCCAGAGCTGCCTGCCTTGGTTGACTGCATTTTATTGGTAATTTAGGGTGACTTGATTGTCTAACTGATTTGTATTTATTTAAAGAGTGCTTACATATTCCCTAAAGCACTTTAGATGAGTAGTATTGCAAGACAAAAGAACCTGTTTTCATACAACTTGATAGCAGAACTCTAATACAATTCCCCCTTTTGTTAAGAACGAGGCAGGAAAGCGATCACTTACAATGAGAGAAGAGTTATATTAGAAGTTGTTTCTCCAAAATAAGGAATTTCACTCAGCTCGTTGTAATTCATTTTCCTTTAATAAAGAAAAAAGAGGAAAAAATATTACTGGTACTTCAAAGAAAAGTAAATCCCTTCTGTGCCCAGCAGAAGGAGTTCATATCAGAGAATGCATTTAAAAATTCTGTTAAAAATACTTAGTAGTTGACCAAGGATTCCCTAGAAGCTTAAATAACAATCTGAACAATTTAATAGAAAAGCATGCTTTTTTAACCGTTTTCATGGACACTGTTACTTCTCTTTAACTTAGGTATAGTCAAAACAAACACGTCTCATTTCTTTTTTATACAATGGTCTTCTAATCTTTTACAAAGAAGTTTTCTGCTCACAAAGCATCAGTTTTATACACAAAATGTGCTGCCAACATAGAGCATCCATTTTTAATTAACTGGCACTGAATGTTTCTACAAGTCAGACCAGATATCAAGACATGCAGTGAAATGTGCTAATTAGAATTAGGTAGGCTACCTCAGAGTTTATCTTCATAAAAAACAACTTACACTTCTTGTAGTGTATGAACAGATAAATCAATGCTCCAGTTAGATGACAATAAATGATTATGACTTAAATCCCTAGAGAACAGAGAGAAAAGTTATTCCTGCTCCTGGAACAAAACCCACCAAACATGCTTTATGCAACCTCAATGTTTTAAACCATATTTATGATACACACAGTTCCTCCTTCACCAAAGGAGAGACAGATTCCTCCTAGCTTGTTCCAGTGGTCACTCACAATAAGAGTTTAGACAGTTCTGTTTCTCTGTTTGAATCAAATGACTTCTTGTTTAAAAAGAACTTGCAAGAAAGATCATACCTGACCAGAGCATTTTTCCTTTAAATCAGAGCTTTATAGACAATACTTTATGTACATTAATCACAAAAAAGAAAAACTTTCCAGGGACATGGAAACAATTTCTTACAAAATGCCTGTTATTGAACTGGTTTCTGTAGCATGATCCCCATTTTCTCAGCCTGCCCAGCTTTTCAAAGACACTGACTAGTCAAGGCAGGCTTATTTTAAAGGAACAACATACACACAATTACCAAACAAGCTGGAGGGGAGAGAAACATGAGGCTGGGAAGCTTACAGAAGCATGCTTTAGTGCCAGTTGGTTTTGCTTATAGGAAACAAATGCAGGAGTTGGATTGTTTCAGTGGGCAAGAGAGTAGTCAGATCTGGTTTTTAATGCCCATACTGGATGCTGATGCTATTCCCTTTCCTTTAAAGCAGTACTTTTGCCTTGCACTTAGTGCATAAAATGGTACAGTGTGGGGAGAAATGGATCCACTTCTGAAAGCTAACTCACTCTCTGGGCACAGACTATTTTGTGACATGAGCCAAAGCATGACCAAAAACCCCAGGTTTGTGATGGCAACCTGGTTCTAGCTGTACCAGTGAGGAGAGACAGACATCACCCTGAACTGTGACTGCATCAGCTTTTTGACACCTTTCTAGCACAAGTCGACACAGAGATGAACCCCTGGCACTGCCACCAAGCAACTGAGATCCTCCCCACAGTCAGAAAACTGTTGAGAGGTGCATTTATAACTGCACACTGCCTATTAAATCAAGAAGTCTGCCTCTGCCAGCTAGTTGCGCCTGCCTGTCAGCAAGGCATCATGCCTCTCACTCCATTTCCAACTCCGACATCAAGCATAGAACTCTAACAAGCTACTTTCAGCAAAAGCTGTTCATCTCCTGATAAGTTCCTCTGATAAAGTCCTGTATCACTGATTCCCTTTCATCTATCACATGATTCTCTTTCAAGTAACACAGTACTTATTTATTACAGCTAGTTTTAAGGCTATCAGGCAGGCTGCAGCTACACTGACACAGGAGACAAAATTATCCTTTAAGAACAAAACTACCATTCATCAGTTAAAAAGAATATTACAATGCAGTTGATCACAGTTAAAAATATTCCCATTGACAATCAGGCTTGGGCAGTCGCAGCTCCCATGTGCTTGTCTACTCTTGCAATAGCTTTGGGCCTGTGCTTGACTCCAAGTTCACTGAGGGTCGAGCCTGTGCAGACACAAAGATGCCCCAAACCCATGTCTAGGGGAAGAAAAGAAACTGTTCTGGTGCCCCTGCTGACAGAGGACTTAACCCTCGCTGAGTACCAGTAGAGGTGCTTACTGGTGGGTGTTAATGCTGTCACAAGAACCCTCCTCCACACAGGGAAGACTTGGTGCTAACCAGAAGACAACCCGAGCAGGACCTGGGTTTATTCACCCTGGCACTACTGATGCACTTTAGTTCTGTAAGACCAGACTCTACTGGGAGAGAAAAAGGACTTGAGAGACGAGTTGTTAACTTCAGGCTCAGCGATAAAGATACTGCTCTAGCAATGAATTATTAAAATCCTGAGTGTCGTGGCAAGTCCATGCTGTTAATGTATTCATTTAATTACATCAAGATGTAAATTATACAGATACAGCAGCAAACAGGTTTGTAAACAATTATTCAATTCTATAATTAAAAAAGAATTGAGAAGCTGGAGAAGAGGCCAACACTGCTCTGCCTTCAGTGTACCACTGAACACCAGGATATCAGGCCTGATCCCTCCATATGCGTAGTAATTAACAGTAACACAAAACCAACTGAGTATGAACTGCTCCTACGGCACTGCAGCCACCCTCCCGGGCTGCCTGGATCCCCCTGTCCAGTGCTGCTGGGGCTCTGTGACTCTGGGAATGCCAAAGGAGCCATAAGGCACACAGGGAGATGATCCCCAAAATCCAGAGGCAGCCTCTTGCTTGCATCTTTCAAACATGCAGGCACCCAACCAGTGCTGAGGAGACTTATCTTGGTAGCAGCGGGTTTAACCAGACCCAGAGTACTAAACCACACCACCTCTGAAGGACCTGAGCACAACCCATGGTGGAAGGATGAGACAATGGGCACAGAAGATAACAACACACTCCTCAAGGTGTCCAGATACTACACTGATGAGCAAAACCATGCCAAGGGTGCTGAGCCAGACCAACCTGCGTGTCAGGCACGGTTAGCGGGCACTGACAAAGATCTTGGGAGTCAGATTAACATGCAAAGAAAACAGCAACTTGATTTTTCAAGGCTTTCAGGAAGAATATCATAGAATAGACTATTTCAGTTGGAAGGGACCTACAATACACCCAGGCTGGTACAGGAAGCATTTCTGTTTGAATCTTCCTTTCTAAGAAAAGTCAGAGCTCCTTTAGGCATGTCTCCATAGCTAAAATATTTTCAGAGGATAGTTTATGGTGGACATTTGGCTTTTTAACCAAATGCAGAAGTAGCAGTCATCTTGAGCGATCTTTTAAGTACTTGTTGACTTGTTTATGAGTCCTCATTTATTTCTTGAATTGTACTGGAATTTTATTATCATAAGGATGCTGAGGCACTCGCACAGGGTGCCCAGAGAAGCTGTGGCTGCCCCATCCCTGGCAGTGTTCAAGGCCAGGTTGGACACAGGGGCTTGGAGCAACCTGCTCTAGTGGAAGGTGTCCCTGCCCATGGCAGGGGGTTGGAACTGGATGAGCTTTGAGGTCCTTTCCAACAAAAACCAGGATTCTATGATTCTACAACAATCATCTAGACCAACTCCCTGCCTCCTTGTCCCAGAAGCCCCCTGCCTTACTACTATCTTAGAAATAAAGATTTTAATTTAGAAAGCCCAGGAAAATATTTTTCTATTATTACTCAAATTTGGACTACCACACAGTTATTACTAATGGCAAGTCCTCTTTCAAGAAATTTGGTATAGGTCATACTTAAAAGAATTCTGACACTATTTACATCTAGTTACTGTTGCTGATGCTTTTCTTTTTGAAACAGACTGATCACTAAATACAAATTGAAATACACTGTCTGATTTTCTGTGTTTACAGATCATTCAATCACAGAGCTAAGAATTCTATCATGCGGAACAAGATACAATCCCCTTGCTCTGACAAAGCCCAAACCAAAGAATCCATCACTTGAGAAGCACTTGGATTTTTTACTGTGAGGCCCATGTTATGCAAGATACAGAGCAAACATGCAAAACTTGTATTAGAGATTCATCTGGGATTGTATATAAAGTCAGCTAAACATTCATTCCAAACTGAAGTGGTATTCATCTCTTGAGTAAATAAAACAGAACCCACACATCAGATTGATTACTGCAGCCTTAGTCCTGGAGAATGATCTTAATTCAGCCCAAGTGAGCACACCTGCCTCCTCACTGTGGCCCTGTGCTGGTAAAGGTGTTGCCATTTGAGCTGAAAATGCTTTTATTCATCATCTCCCTCGGTACCAGCTTATCTAAACATACTTTCAGGCACTAGTATAGGACTGGAAGGCAGCGACCACCAGCATTGTGCTTCCTTTTCTCCCTACAGATGACTGTCTTACAAACAGGACTTGCATTCCTCCTCTAAAGAATGTTAAGATGCAGACACATAGAAAACTATTCACCCATCGACTTCCCTACCCTTTTCATCATCTGCCAGGTTATCCACAAAACATGTAATCTAGCAGGAAAAATGAAGTTACAGGTGCCTGAATATTTCTGTCATGAGAAAGTTCTAAAGGTGCTCTCCTGGCCTCATTAAAACAAAAAAAACCCCGAAACAAACCCCCAACCCCCACTGGAAGCATCACCTGCGAGTAGTTTGAAAGAGTTAGGAAAACCAAGAACTGTTAGTCCTTAAAGTTAGGTGAAATAGTATCACAGAACTAAGAGAGAAAAGCACATCAGGGACTTCTTCATGCAAGAAAAATTAAGCTTTGATTAATTTTAAACAGCTTGTATGCACTATTAGCTCCTTTAGACTGAGAATTGCTAGAGGAGTCCTAGTGAAGAAACAATGTCAACCCCACACACATGCTTTGTGTGGCAAAATCCCAGAAACCACAACAGAGAACATACTGTCAAGCCCCAGAGAGGGGCTTTGGACAAAGTCCTGTAGGGACAGGACAAGGGGAATGGCTTTAACCTGCCAGAGGGGAGATTGAGATGAGCTCTGAGGCAGAAGCTCTTCCCTGTG